ATATATATATATAAAATTTTTTAGAGAATTATTATTATTAAAAAAAAGTATGGCAAAAACAATAAGATTCATATTAATAATCAACGTAACTAAAATTCACTTGATAATTTCTCTCTAGCCCTCAACATTCTTCAACGCTGAAAACCTTCACCCAAATCAACGAAAAACACTAATACGTTCGTATTTTTTTATGGGATGATTTTAACGGAATGTTATTCACAAACAATTTAATTGTACCTTCACAAAAGCCAACAGAGGGACGGTGTTGTAAAATGCAAGCACACGACATATGTATTTGGGCTCGTATACTAATTCCCCGATAGCGAACAGCATACGTAGAATAACTGGGACTTCCTACAACAGAATCTGTAACTATACGGTTTCTTTAGACGTAGAACTGCTTTCGCAGGGTGGTGTTGTTTCAGGTGATGCAGGTTCTTCTGCCGATTGACTTTCCGGGGATTGTTGTAAACTGCCAAATGCGCTACTGTTTTTTGAACAACTCATACATATGTAATCTTCATCTTCGTTAATTTCTTGCGCTGAAAGGCCAACACAAGCCATATGGAACCACTGTTCACAACCTCCGTCACACTGAACCCAATCTACTTCTTGTCCAGTTGGTAAAAGACAACTAGTAGCTGCACATTTCTCTTCTTCGTCGTCGGACTCTTCTTCTGAGTTTTTATTACCACTTTTCCGTCCAGTCACCCTTTTACGAGACCCTTGATCCTTACCCTTCAACTTCTTCGTCAAATTAGCCTTGAGTTGCTTTAACTTCTTTATTTCTGTTTCATCCGAACGCCGCTTTCTACCCCGTTTTGATGGAACCTTCAGTTGAACCTAATATGAGATTAACAACACAACGTTCAAAGAAAATAAACTAAAAAAAAAATTGACAACAAAATTATAAAAACCGTTGATTATAAAATTAATAATATAATACTGAACAGAACAATAATACTATTTTCGTTTTGTTGATTAACTGTTTTAATATAACTTACTATGTAATCTCATACAGAATAGAACACTCATGTTATTTTGTAACAGCCAAAGCCATTAATAGTATAATCAATGACTTCGGCTGTTTTTTATAATTCAATGAATACCTACAAATAAATCTATAAAGAAACAGTTCAAACAATTTTAAAAAGTAAAATTAATAAAATAAATTTAAAAATACTTACATCAAGATCTACTAGTATGGGTTCTTTATCCAGGTCCCTCGAAACTTGAAGAATTTTCCAAAGATGGAACGTCTCATCAAGTGAGACTTCTAAGAGGTCTCCTTCGAGCAGAAGTTC